ATCACCGCACATCTCATGTCAGCGGTCCTGGACTGAACACATCATAGTCGACTGAGCCCGAAATGACGTTTCTCGGCCCAAAATTACGTGAGGAACCTGAATTTCTTAACCTTCCGTGTGAAAAAATGTAGCGCTGAGAAATAGTTGTTCAGTTTTCCTTGAAGACTCATTTATCGTCAATATTTAGACCCTCTAATTGCACTAGAATTTTCTCAATGAATATATGTTTAAAATGAAAACACGAGGCCAGATTCGTATTCAGCGTGCAAAACTGCATCTAGGCATGTGTCTTGGAGTCCAAAAATTGAACTGCTGTAACTTTGAGTTGGGCGGCCCGTACGTTTAAGGAGATTCGTTACATTCTAGGCACACCTCACCCATCAACTTGTCGTGATGACGGACCACCCATGCTAGACAATGGCCATTAACTAAAGGACGAGAAGATATATAGTCTTTGACTTGTTCGATCGATAGTGGATATGGAGGTCCAGTAGATATTTGACAGTTTCGTTGTCATTGAGAATAACCACCATTTCTGAAGCATCATCAATAGTCAGAAGTGATAATGATAATGCTGAGTATTTGAAATGCGGAAGAGGCATAAACATTGTCATCTGAAAATAGTTCGATGTACAAAGCGTTTTCCTTTAAAATCGATCTCACAACCGATAAACAACTTGGTGAGTAGTTTCTTGCAGTCACAACTGATGTATGACATGTTTCTTTCTTTTCTTATAACACACACACACACACATACTTATCGGACTGGTGGTATGAAAGAGAGAAGGATACAAAGAGCAACCAGCATTTACTTATCATGCTCTTGCGTTCCCATAACTATTGTCAAGGTTTGCATAAATTTAAAAGAGCATTTGATGATGGTTCGGATTTGAATAAGAGGTGCGACTAAAGTTAGAATTGGAGCCATGATAGAACGGATTGAAACCATCTGAAGTTAGATCACGATATATTGCTAGATGCGCTGTGTTATGTATCTCTCTCTCTCTTCCTTCTTGTTCTGCTTTGATGATATAGTTTTATTGCCACTTTGAGTAGATATCTGGTCATGTTCGTGAGTTATTTAGTCAGTGAACACATGTCTCTTATCTCTTCTTACGGGCAGGACTTTTTTACGCTTGAAGCATGATGAGTTGATGCTGATATAGTCGTTACAAAAAGTACGATTGTTTGATATTTGAATATTTTCATAGGGAATGCGTCCCACAGTTCGATCATAAGACGTACATTCTTTCTTATTTTGTCTTAACAGGCGTGATAGCGAGCAGAAATGAAAATTACGCAATCAAAAACGTCTCCCGACGATGGCCGTATTCCCTTGATAAGTGATACCCCAAGTCATATTGATTCTACCCCGTCTATAGAACAAATAACGAATTTATTTTATCAACTCATCGATTCATTCCATCGTACACCAACTTCTGGAAATATCTCGATCGAAATGAACCGTTCGAAGCAAGGAGGAAATCAAGGTAATGATGCTGAAAATGTAGAAACGGGTTGACATCGATAGTTGAAAACTCGACATTTGAAGATGATTGCTATTGGTGGATCGATTGGTACTGGTCTCTTCGTAGCGTCAGGCTCTGCTCTAGCTACTGATGGTCCTGTTGCACTTGTACTTGATTTTGCCATTGCCGGTTTTATGCTCTTCAATGTATGCATAGTCCTAGGCGAGCTAGCAGTTACTTTTCCTGTCTCTGGTTCATTTGCCGTCTACAGTTCTCATTTTCTCGATCCTAGGGTGTGGGTATGGGCATTAAACAACAGAATAGAAGTCCCTACCCACATCCTTATATATATCTCTATTTATGACCATTGCCTGCATTCTCTTTCATTATCATCAAAAAACCTCTCTTCAGTCTCATTACTTACATATATACTGCTACGTAGGTAACGAGATAAGAACATGCTGATGAATTTCTACGCAAGCTGCTTGAAAAAATATTGTACTTTTCTTGACATATTTAAATTTTTCTAAGAGCACTATCGTCAAAAAAAGCACATTTTTTTGCTTTTTTTTTGTGATATATATATGGATGAACCGTTGATGAGTTGAGCAATACCACCAAGTCTATGACAAAATAGTCATTTTTTGGTATTTTGTGCAATTGCACATTTCATGAACGGATCGTATTAGAGAGCTAAGATTTTGGTCATAGAGAGATCTCATTGAATACTCACTCTGATAAAAAATTCAACTCTCTATCAAATTTCTGTGTCTCAGAGGATTCTCGTCAGGCTCATGTGGTTTTAGACCACACACTCAGTACTACAAAGCTATGCAAGAATTGACCTGGGACGTTGTAGAATAACTTACCGCATCTGATTAGAAAATGAGCCCAAAATAGCTCTTTTCTATGCTAAATATATTAAGACTTGTTCATAAATTCAAAGACAAGTTCCACAATATAAAACTAATTTCTATTTAGTATAAATCAACATTATGGCTCTCCTATTGACCAACATATATAACTTCTTAAGGATGAGGATGAATCAGACAGACGCGAACGATCTTCTACACCAAGTTCATAATCATTTTGAGGACGTGATTAAGAAGTAGTCTGATCGGCACTTTGTATGTTGTAGTGGGACCAATCTTAATTGACGATGACATAACTAAAGCTATCATGATGAGTCGATCTCTGTTGAAGTTTTAAAACAAGAAGAACCTTCTTGGCCATTATTTTCTGTGCATTTTGAGCAAAACAAGTCAAGTGATAGGCAAACTTCATCTTCAATGGATCATAATTAGTCTCAACTATAACAAACTTAGACTAAATAAAGGAAAAATTACCAAAATTAATCGAGCCCTTCTCGATTCATCTGTTGCAAAGTAAAATTAGTCTAATATATCAGAATCTATGCAATAAAACTACCGATTATGCTTAGACAATAAATAATATATACACGTACATGTTATTTAGAACCTAAAAATCTGTCTCTCGTTTGCAGCTCACGGCAATGAGATCCTCAAATTATATGAAAAAAGAAAATGTTTTTAATGAATGAAAAGAGAGCAAGACCGGCCGTATTATTACCGACTAGCATTTTGACGCCTAATTATTTTGGACGTAATGTGAACAAGGATAATCGAAACAAAAATTCTTCATGACAAAATATGTGATAATTCAGAAAACAGATTTTTTTGTTCATTTTAGTTGTAGATTTGTAAGCTGAAATAACCTATATTCTCAATTTCTAATGTATAGATTTGTTTATCTAATTTGAATGGTAAACTTTTTGTCTAGGTATGAAACGATGTTAAATTGTACTGAAAATATAGAAGGTAGGAGTAATTAATTCTGCTGAGTCTATTGGCACTTGCAATGTCGAAAGTAGTAATTTTACGGATCTCGTAATAGCAATAATTGAAGTTTTTTGTAAAACTGAATTCATTGATCTTTGGTTGCTTTGAAAGTGAAAATGAATACTGTAAATAGATTAGACTCGGCTAATCACTTCTATCGTCTTTCTTCTAAGATTGATTCAATATTATATAACTCACATCATTGAAACTCTCCAAAAAATGTGGCTCTTGAATGGAACAAGATTTTTACATAGATGATATAGATTCAAAAGCATATTTTTACATGAGAATTTTATGAGATAAAATTCGATATTATCAATAATAAATATCAGTGAAAAATGTTCAGAATTTCATAGACTATGAATTTTGTCGATGATGAACCAGTTTGAGACGTTTGTGGTTAGATTTAACTTCTAATAACTCGTCGACATCCTTGTCAAACTTGATTTGAATAGATTTATAATTATCATCAACAGAAAATGTTTTCCCTTTTCTACTGAGCCGTTTGATCATGTCCGGTATTGAGTTTGACGAAGATTCATAATGTTGAATTGTAACCGTAGACACATGTTTGAGACGTGTGAGAACTAATTTCATCCAATGAAGTTGTCTCAATCGTATTTTGAAGTGATCAATTCTACCGGATACTAGAATGCATATATTCTCTAGTCTTGATATGAAATCATCATGACTCCATATACCGAGTGTGCGAATATTCGATGTTTGTTCTAATAAATTCTTGATTGTTTCCAATTGAAGAAAACGGCTATAATCTTCAAGCAGCCAGATTTCATTTACATGTGAAAGATCTATGAATGATGAAAGACATTTGAGGAAATCAGATGGTTGTTGATCATTGATATCTAACGCCAGCTGGGTTAGTTTACCAAAAATTTTTTCATTGGGCCATCCAAACTAAAAAGAAAAATAATAACAATATGAATCAACTCTCTTTTTTGTCTTTCATCTTTTTCAACTGAACAAAATCATTTTTACATATCATTTGGAAAGACATACCTTATCTACCATAATTGATTTCATATGCAATAAATCGAAGCGAGCGATCCACTGGTTGTTTATCTTTGATGGATTATCATTTCTTGTCGTCGTAATCGAATATGATATTCTTCCATTGTTAAGATTATCAGGAAACGTTTCAGTTGGGTATGTTGAGGAGCGAAGAGTAACCCTTGAAAAGATATGACTTTCACTATATCTAGCAGTGACAAACTAACATTTCAGTTCGAGTTAGAATGATGTAAAGAATGGAGCCAAAAATGATTCAAGATTTTTAACCTTATTCGATGGAATACAAATATAAAAATGCAATTTTTTGAGTAGTGGTAGGTTTTTTTTCGATAAAATACTTCCATTGAGAGAAACGTTGTGCAAAATGCGATGAACAAGTCAATCTCGTTTCAAATTTGAGATAAATAAGGGATGGGAAAAGAGATAGCAAGAATTCGAGCTCATCAATCGACATTTGAATCTCATTTAAGGTCAATGAAGGCAATTGCTGGTATGAAGTTCGTCGAACAACTTGATTGATGTAAGACATACTGTAATTGTTTAACACAACAATTCGAAGATTTGGTAACTGATTAAGAATGATTCACAGTTGTTCGAAAGTAGAATTTTGAATACTCAATTCTTGTATTAGATACTGATTTGGCTACAATATATGATCACTTATTCTACGATCAATATCCAAAATGAGCCGACGAAGACTTGATATTGCAACCATCGCTGAAAGAAGATCAATGGAGTGTGTGCTTAATGGTTTTGCCTTACTCACACTGAGTGACAATGACGCAAGTTTGGAAGTAGTGAGAGATTTGATAATTGTTTGCAAATCATATTCTTCGATGTTACAAAGTGTTAACGAACGAAGTTGAGTCGATTGATAAATATAGACGGAGCTTAAAAAGTGTCTGATTATATTCGACTGACGCGATGAATTTTTCAGAGTAAGTGCAATGACATTTTCCGGTCGCATAGCTCGACGTATCCGTTGAATATCAGCCTTTGATGATGTATCAGTGAAGTTGATCGTTAATCGACTATAATTATAAGCAATTGCATGAAATCGTTTGCAGACAGCACTAAATGAAAATAGAATACTTTCGGTATCGAGTAGATCAAGAATACGATCGATAAGTTCAACAGGAAGTGTCAAAAAAGTCGGAAGAGGTTCTAGCGACATATTCAAGAAAATAATGATGAAATACGCATTACATTTATGTGAAACGAAAGAAAAACAAAGAACATTGCGTAATACTTGTGAAATATATTACGAATGTTATTGCTTCAAAATCCATTTCTTTTTTTTCTTTCTATTTACAACGAGGATGATATATGGCTCATCTATCGAACGAGTATGTAAAGGAATTATACAATATTGAGAAAGAGATTTTTTGCGTTCTTTATGAGTCTTCTACTAGTAGAACTTATATGTAGATAAACAATGATGCTGATATCGATGAGAAGCTATCACAACAGGACGAATTATCACGACGAGCGTAAAAATCTTATTGATCAAACAATCAACTAATTAGAAAATCAAGAGTACGAAAACTCTCCGATAGAGAATACAAATTTGGGCATGGCTGCTCATAGCAATCAAGCAGCCAATGTAAAAATCTCACTTAATTCACACCCCTTATTTTCCCCTTCTTACTCAGTTTACAAATTAAACAGTAAAAGTTTATGAATTACGTAAAAAAATCCTTTCAATCCAGGGATGTTAAGATTTTTCTAAGACATTGAAGTTTGATATCTCAAAGGTGGGTGAATACAAAGATATATAGCTACCGTGACTAGTTTCGACCTTGCTTAGAAGTCATCTTCAAGCGGATTTAGTATATCCTACTTAAGTGAGATGATGAATACCCTCAATCATTTTCTTTTGTACGTATAATAATCCAATAAAGAAAAGAGTTTTCTAATATTGACATTGTTTTTGATATATACTATTATGTGTGTGAGTCATATTATATATATATATATATATATTTTCTTTTTGGTATTGTATGGCATAAGATTGGTTTAGATGTAACGGTGATGACGGATCTTAGTATATGTGAATTGGCTTCGTTTCAATCGATTGGTAGTGGTTTATGATTGAATTTATTTATCTATTTAAAGTCTTTGATCTATGAAAGAAGAGTTTGACATAGATATATTCTCTACGTTTTATTGAATTAATTAATAAGATGTAGTAAAATTAACAATAAACTAGCGACGTTTCGTATATTAATAAGATACTTTGCCAGGCATTATCATTAAAATAAATGATGCAACATAAATAGACATATAAGTGAAAACAGGCCATATTATTCAGAACTCGATATATTGGCTAAGTCATGTTTGCATGACACACGGAATATAGTTATGTAAAAATAGTTGGGAAATTTTGTATCTTCTGTTGGTTCTGTTGTCGTATGTGTTGGAATATTGTTAGTAACAAGAGCGATAATCAATGGATGATTATTTCTTTCGAGCACTAAAATTTTTCACTATTGCTATGCAAAAATTTTCTTTAATGATATCTAGTTTTGCGCGATATTGATGGAGTTTGACTTTTTAAGTAAAAATTCAAAATTCTTCTCTGTTGTCAGGAAAAATCACCTTATTGATAGTATATATATATTGAAAATATTGAATTCTGTTTTTGGCTAATAATTTTTCGAACATCCTATATTCGTTGGGATTTTGGAAGTAGAAATCATAATATTAATGGTGAACGATCATCTAATACAAGATGCTTCTTTTAAAGAAAAGTTCTTTCTATGTCATTGTTTTCATATGAAACGATAACCAGCATATGAAAAATTTTGTTAATATTTGTCAATTAGCATTTATGTATGAGAATGGAAGAGGAGAGAACAAAAAAGAAAGAAACATAACAAATATTCAATATTCAAGGAAAAAATTATTTTCCTACACGTTTTATTTTCTCTAGATCAGTTTTAATGTTGTTTGTATAAACGACGTACGTTTTAATTTTAACCAATCATCATTATTTTTTCCACTTATACACATATTGTATCGTATACAGCAATAAATATTAGAACGAGTATTGCTGTGTCCTGATTTTTATCACAATTTCTGATTTTGAGACATAGACCGATGCAACCCCTAGATTGAGCTGTAATTTGCAACAATTCTTCTCCTATATGTAATTTATCGTTGGCCATAGCGCCGTATCATATCAATGGATAGAGACAGCGCCAGAGGTTTCTTAAAAAACTAAGTTTCTGGCTTGAAAACCTTGAATTTTGTGAATACCAAGAAATTTTGGCGCAAAATCAAGTTAATATTCGAAATCAGCTTTTCAAGCTGCATTGAATCATATATAGTAATAAATATTTTTCAAAAAACAAGTTGGATCATGAGCCTGACAAGGCGCATCGTTGATTGTAGCATCATTGTGCACTGACGAGCACAGCCGGTGCTATGGATCTCCCAAAATCTGAAGTTGTTGCCTCTAAATCTCTACTTTTGCAAACAAAGCATCATTTTTGTGAAAAATCAAGGCAATATTCGGAATCAGTTCATCAAGTTGCATCTAACCGGGTTACCGGACGTTCGCCAATAGGAATTTCTCAAACTGGACTTTCGCCAATATACCCCTTGTGCTTTCGCCAATTGACGAACGTCCAGTGAACTTTCTTGAATTTAGATATAAGAGTAATGTTGATTAGAGAAATTGATCAACTGTATTTATAACTGTATGACTTGGGGTACATTTTTATAATGCTAGGCGTAGTTCTTGTACACCACTTACGATATGAATATTCCACCTTCATTAATGAAAATCTATTCGCCAATTCGCCCCCTGGAAATTCGTCAATTGGTGACAGTTCAGTGAACTTTCGCCAGTATACCCTCTGGATTTTCGCCAATTATTGGCGAAAGTCTTATTGGCAAAGCTCCGGACCCCATCTAACCATACATAATAAAATGCGTTTTTTGAAAAATATTTTTTGACCTTTATGGAAGGCAAGCTTAAAAATGAGTCCTATTGTCAAACGCTACAGAGAGTTCCAATTCGAGGATGCTCAAGCTTTCAGCGAATATTTCTTCACATGCGGTCTACCATTGATTCTATCAAAATATAGCCGTAATCAACGTGGACTGAATTAGTAGATCCCAAAAAATCCTGTTTTGTTACTCTATATCCTCACATTTTGTCCGTACAATATGATCGTCTTGTACTATGTTTTTATTCATAGTTTGACTCAGATCATTAGAATAAATGCGGTTCGCAACGCACGAGGAATAGATTTTGGAAAAATGGGAGTGAAGTTTGAGAACCGAAATATAACATTCAAAAGCACTGAAAAAGACGACATTTTATGTTTTCAACTTTACGTTATAATATAATTATGATTTGTTCACAACGTTTAATACACATGTCTTTATTTAAATAAAATTCGATAATAATGTTTTGTTACAATAAAATGCTCTATTAGCCTACGCGAATCATTTGAAATCAACGGTAGAATTGGGAAAAACGTTGGTACCGTCTGTTTTGTGTAGATTAAGTACAAACATGTTTCAAATTAGAAAAAAAGAAAGCCTAATAATTATTGCTACTAATTGTTCAAATGATTTTGATCATTGCGAAGAGTTATCTCATTACCATCACGATTGGTATCAGTCGCTGCGACAGTTAAGAGTGTGGCTGGCTGAACAAGAATAAGACCACTAAGATCGTCTGAGTTCAACGTCTTTTTTCTTTTGGACGTGAGAAACATTCGTTCGATATCGTTCGCCTTAGAATTCGAGACTGACGTAGTAGCGATCTGAGTGCGAATCGGTGTGAAATGACTTTCTCCATTGATATTGAGGTTCGATTCAACGAACCAAGAAGGCATCGGTTTCAGACTTTGGAACATATCGTTCTTCTTCGAAGCTAGTGTTCTGTCAATATTCATTGGTTTTTCGCCTTCATCAGTCGGCCAACAACCTTATCGTTCAACATAGGTGTCAATTGCTCTGAGCATATCGAATAATTGACTCATTTGCACATTGAACTTACTCATAAGAGTCGTCAAACTGTCTCTTGTCTCCTATAAGCGGGAACGAATAATATATATTTGTCAAAGATAATTTTTAATGAATGCTTAATTCTATTCGAGAAAATTGGTCTATCTCTCTTTCTCATTATAATTGATCACTACTCTATTAGATTTTTTGTCTTACAGGATTCTATATAATAGCAAAATTTCGAGTATTTTCTTCGTACAGAGAAGCATGAGACACTTGTATCATCATAGAATATATTTCAAAATCTAGAAAATAACAATCCAAAAAATGAAAATCAGAAAAAATTTGATCAAATAAAATGTTCGCCTTCAATTTTTTGATGAGATTCATTCTCTTTTTATTCGATCATGGTAAAACGATTATTTCAACAAACGAATGAACAATAGATATTTCAGATAAAAACGAGTGCATACAAAACGAAGATCAATACGATATTAATTATATAAGTACAAACCAGCTCAACTCAAATATTTTTCAACTGACAAGAATAACTACATCGAATATCTCGGCAGATCTTGTGACAAATAATACACATTCTGTTACAAGAAAATGGCACGAGAGTGGTTCATTTGAAGGGAAGAATCGAAAAGAGCCAGTACATATGAAAAAGTACATTCACACTCTTGATATCGGTGACTGAAGAAACATGAACTGTTTCACTTGTTTTTCTCATTTTATGCTTAATTTTGCTCAATCTACATGGTTTGTGTTAAATAAATTGGCTAGTTTTATAATGAATTTCTTCGTGGTCGAATTTTAAGACAACACCTGATGATACAATTAAGATTCTCTCAAAAAAGAGCCTATCTCATAAAAACTTTGTCGTCTTCAATAACAGCAATTCTATTGTGTTTCAAATTTTAATCTCACAGAGATTCTGCTTATAGATTTTTCCAAAGTTAATTTTTATATCTAATATATTTTCAAGATGAGATTTTCAGAAAAGATGTTCATCAATCTTTAAAGAGAAGAAATTCACGATCACCAAGGATTAATTATAATGTTTTCATGATGAAAAATTCAAAGTGGTGATTCGAACGAGAAAATTAAGAAGATATATGTTGAAAAACAAGTGAACGCTCGTCGCTTCGACTCGCTTAGCCCTCGACTGAAGAATTAAATTTATTTACATATCATTTTATTTTATTTCTC